TGAAGGACGACACTCCTCTTACTCCACAGATGCATACTGCATACAGAAGTGTCCTAGGTCAGATCAACTGGTTGCAGTCGCGAACGCAATTCCACATTGGTTATCAATTCTCAAGGTGTGCATCCAAGGCATCATCACCAACCATTGAGGACGTTCGCGCCATTAATAAGACAGTCAGAACCATCAAAAGCATCCCGCTTAGCATGAGATTCTGGCCCCTTCGTGGCAAGACACGCATAGTTGGCTATCCAGATGCATCCTATCGCAACAACGAGGATAAGTCATCCCAACGTGCGCATGTTATTTTTCTTGCAGAACAAAGAGATCTTCGCCAGGGCTCATCGAACTCGAGAGGCTCATTGGTCGACTATGAGACGCACAAGATCACCGCCACAACCATGTCCACTACTGTCAGTTGCAGAGTTGCACGGACTAATGCGTTGTTACGGTTCAGCATTATTTCTTCGCGGTCTTTGGTCAGACATAACGGGCGAAATTGCAGATGTACACATCCGCACCGATGCGAACAATCTTGTCACCACAGCATCCACAACACATCAACCGGAACAGAAAGAAACAATGCACTTGATCCAGATGTTGAGAAAGGAAAGCAACAGTGGACAAATGCACGACCTTGCACATGTACGAAGTGAAGATTGTCTGGCAGATTCGCTGACCAAGCATTCAGCTAAAGCGGACGAGCTCATCAAGGCCGTCCTCACCGGCAATCTCTTGAATGTAGATGCACATCCACCTTTTCGTACCATGTTGCAGAACAAGGCATTCTTGGTCATTCCGCCAAGTCCGCATCCGTCAAGATCCGAGGCGCCTCATGGAGATGAAAGCACAGCTCAGCCCAAGTACAGAATGCGAAGGCCGGCACCACCATCCGTTGAAGAAGAGAGAAAGATCAAGCCGTTCTCGAAGAAGCCCATCACATTCATGTTCCATGCAACCTATGGAAGTCAGCTCTACAGCATCATGGAGCACGGGCTCAAATCTGGGAAGTCCCAGTCAAACCCTTCAAGGAGAATGCACGTTCACATGGCATGCATCGATGACGTCATCCTCGAAGACGATGAGTCAGAAACCGCATTGACCCATGCGCCAGCAGGAAGAGATGCGTTGCTGATCCTTGCATTTCTCAAGGACCAAGATATGGCATCCGCCTTTCCGAAGAGAGAACAGCGTTGACAGACAAAACCATCGAGGCAAGAAACATTGTTGCAGCATTTGAACCTGATGGCAGCCTCATGGCGAGCAACAAGTGGATCATGAAGAAGTATCTCGATCATGAAGATTACGAGATGTACGACACCAAGATCCGCGAATTCGCCGATGCCTTCTTCACGTATGTGAATTCCACCAAGCACAACAAGGAAAAAGACACCTCCTCAGAGACCAAGAAGAGACGGCATTCCACCGATCAGGACTCCACCGAAGGAGAAATGATGGAACCCTCCGAAAAAAGATCCGTCAAGCCCAAGGTCATCGTGGAATATCACAATTCCGAGAACCTGGAAGAGTTCATCCAAGAACTCAAGGGAATCTATCTCGAAATAGATATGAACGAAAAGGACGCAGAGGAAGAGCTCGCGGGGATCAAAGAACTCAAACGCTTCATGAACCAGTTCAACAAAGATCCGAAGGGAGCTCATCCCAACTTGACAGAGTGCGAGAGAGCCTCATTGGCACATGTCGATCCTGATGTCAATCTCGGTGAAGAAGAATTCTACTTCCCTCATCGAGGAGAATGTCCCATCATTGACGAGTACAAGCAAGCTCAACCAGGATCCGGATATCCGATCAAGCTGCCGCTTGGACTGAAGAAGCTCAGGTCACAAGATGACCCGAAAATCATCCGAGCCTATGCCGATATCCTGGGATCGCTGATGCAGCCGACTGACCGTCCTTCCGTGGACTATCTCAACATGCATGAGTTCACCTCATCCATAGGGATCAACATCCTTACCCTGAACCATGGAAGCCTCACAAGGAATCCAAAGTTGGACAGCAGGGAGGTGTACAACATGCCGATGAAGGATCGACCGATCGTCAAGATGATGATGCAGAACAGTGCACACATCTTATGCCTGAATGAGGCAGACGCATTCTTCAGTCCGAATGATGAGAAATCCAGGGAGCTCATCAAGACGTTCATCCGATACGGTTACAAGGGCATTGCGATCAAGCAATGGTCATCCAGACCGATCGCATGCTTTGTCCGCGGCGGACCCTCTGCACGAGTGGAACTTCTGGCAAGACACATTTCTACCAGGACATTCGGAATGTTCAGATGTTTCTTCGGAACCAAAGGAGATGACACTGATCCCGAATACGAAATTCCGACCTCGGATTGCTTGGCAACCACAGGAACATCCATGTTTACCGAATTCAAGAAGTACATTGGATCGAGATTGCCAGCACGCACCATTGTCCAAGGACATGGCCGAGACAAGGAGATCGTCGTTCTCCACATCGAGCAGAGTGATGAGTTTCGTGGCATGATCCCGAAATCATCCGACAAGTCATACTACGAGTATGACGACCGCCACATAACGAGGGCAGATCTACCATTCGCAACCATTGGAGTCTTCCACATCCATCCTTCACTTAGCCATGGAGCAGCAAAGGAAGATCTTCAGAATGAAACCATGCCGCTCGTGACCTTGTACCGATGCGATGCGATCACCGGAGACGCCAACAAATCGGCGAACACCTACAGCAAACTCCAGCATGTCTACAATCCAACCAACGGTCTCGTGAACATCCTCATGAGAGCATATCAGAGACTGTGGAACGCGACGAAGAATTTGCCACTCGTGGACAGAATGGAGTATACAGTGGAGACTTCGTGCGCCCTGAAATCCATTGTCCGCCATCACCTGTACATGAAATGCGGATCAGGTTTTGACCGAACATTCCCAGATGTGATGATGACTATCGTATTTGGATGGGGCAAAACGAACATCCAGCAGGACTTCCGGAAGATCGAGATGAACAGTATGGATGATGAACAACTGGAATTCATGCGGAACCATCCAAACAAGGCCATTTTCGATTACCAGGTCTCATCCGCAGAGCGCTACAAGCACGTGAACAATGAAATGTTCATGAACGGCTCGCAGGACTCCGACTCCCACAGTCCTCTCATGGTTTACATCCGCAGCAAATCTGCAACCAGTAAACGCAGCTCTGAGAGATACCAGGAGTACGTCAAGAAGAGACAATCATCCTGGACCACGCAGGAGTATAAGGACTACAACAAGCAGTGGGGATATCAGAAGCAGTGGAAGGACTATAGCACTTCGACCTGGAATGATTATGGAGACCATGGCAGTCAATCCGACAGCAGCCGCCGATGGTATCGTCGATCCGACTGACCATGAAGATACGTTCAGCACCACGAGCAATCCAGATGATTGATCCTCCTCGTCTACAAGACTATACCATGAGTGAGTGATCAATAGTTTCACAATTGTTCCGCGTGTACATAGCGTTGTACATCACCCTTTGATACAATTAGGTATCCAAAAAGAAACGTACATAGTGTTTCCCATTTCGAAGGCCAAGACATTTCATCCAGCAGAAAAAGGATGAATCCGGCACTTTGAATCACGTGGCTACGGCAGACATTAAGGCTACGGTCAAAGGCCATGAAGCCAATAGTATTTCATACTTTGTGCTGGAGATCAAAAGAAATTTGTGTCTGTTTTGTGTTCTGTTTTTCAGACCATTGATCTCCCGCAACATTTGGCTCAAGGCCCCCTTTTTGCATAATCACGACCATTCGAGCGTGAGGACAAAAGAGCCATTGCAGGCCGCTTACAGGATTATCCACAAGACAATCCACCAGGGACAATCCATCCTCCAATCATCCATTACTGGCATATTGGACTCTCTCCGGAATAGATTCAGGGACCAACAACGACCTCAACTACCACAGGGTTCCAGTTCCCTCCGGGGATAGGCACCTGGGGCAGTGGGCCTCACCCCCCCCCCCGGTTGCATTGCTTTCACTCTAAAAGCAACCCCTTTTGAATTACCTGCTCAGCAAGAAGTTGTTGCAAATCAAAATTTAGTATTCCAACAAACTGCTCAGCAAGAAGTGGTGGCAAGACTCCTGTAGTATTAATTCCCAAAAATCTGTTCAATAGTATTGGGCCCCCTGAGTCCTCCAATGTTTGGGTGTCCCAAATTTGGATGTCACTATTCTAGAGCGTCCATTGTTCAGGGGCGAGGTTTCATCAAGTGCCAGCGTTAGACGGATTGTGAGGTCCTTATATGTCCCCGTTCAACAACACCGCACCAAAAGGAGAGTAGTAACATTGCAAAACAAGTACGCTTGAATCCAAGCAGGGACATGCAAGGACCGTTGGTAAAGGCGGCCAATTCTGTGCTGATTGAAACGATCACTAGCACATGCTTCTGCTTCATAACGGCGGCTGCCGACATCTGCATAAACCACGACCCAATGGGCGCCCCACTCAAAGAGCCTTTCGTCAGCCATCACGGCACACATGCCCTTGCAAGGGTTCCTCGTGCGCCCCTCTACCTTACCCCAAAGGCAAGCTTGATGGACATAGCGATGTTCATGCGCAAAACCGATGACGTCTGGTTGGACTAGCAAAGGCTTGCGGGAATGGCATCCATTTGTTCATGAGGCCACACCACCGAACCTAAACAAAGTATTCACTAGATCCTGGGTGTTCCAGGTTCACTGGGAACACAAGCGAGGGAAAAACGCGAGGGAACAACACAAGAAACAAGTTTGGCTTGCAGAAGGGGAAACAGCCAAAATATGTTGACTGTGTGGCCCGTATTTTAGCGACCCCGTGTAAGGGCGGTAAAGAACATCGGAAACGGTCAACAGAGGTCTCAAACTAGATGACACACATTCATTCCTTCGGCAAGTAAAGCGGAGGGCTAAACCCACGGACAAAGCAGGCTGAAAAATCTCAACCAAGACTTTGACACTGGGGTGTCCGGCTTTTACCATGTTTTAGGGCGTGGAACAAATTTAATTCAATGAGCAGGGTTCAAGGCTCTATGTAGGAGCACCGCCCTCAGAGCCGACGCAGGTCCTCCAGCGCCTCTTTGGCCAAAAGGGCAACCGAGGGAGCAGGGCACCGCACCTGGCTTCGGAAACATTCCTCCAGAAAATTTCTCGGCCAACAAAAACCTTGTTTTTGCCAAGTTTAGTGATGAGTGGGGGAAAATCATGAGTAACCACTTGGAAAAAGGAGTGCGCACGGCCGTGGCTCTTCAGAGGAAGCTCATGACTATAATTGCTGCATGAAAAGTACAGTTTGCAAGAGTCGGACTTCGCGCTAAACCATGTGTCTCTACAGCGGTCTCCCAAAAAACCACCCCAAAGCTTCAAGAAAACGTTACACGTCAGATCCAAGACTCAAAATCATGAAACGAGCTTTAGGCCGCGTTTCTGCAGCAAGCTAGTGATCTTCCCGAAAACACCCTGGAACCCAATCGGAAACATCGTCAGCGCGACACGCGCGCCATCTTTGACGACCACCCCCCCCCCGACCAAGCCCTCAACAAAAGTGTCGCAAAACAGTCTGTTTGACTTACGCAAAAACATCGCGCGTCATCTTGCGAATGATAAGTAGACCACCCCGGAGCAGTCTGAATGGATCTTGATAATGCCCTCAATACGGGCAAATGTGACAGCGCGGGGGCGGTACTTTGGCAAATTCTACGCTATGGTAAGGCCACTGCGAGATGTACACCAGAGACTCGACATGCTGCGCAGCCCACGTGCCCCTTCAACATGGGAGTTACCACCACCGTCCACTCCTTGTGAGAATTAGACCCCGTCTGGGAAAATGTTTGATGACCCGAACCAAAAGCAAAAGTCATCAATGCATGTCAAAACAAAGGTTTGATAATTCTGAAGCACGTTAGGCCGAACAAAACATCGCGGCCCCAGAGGGCACCCGCCAGAAAACAACATGTAACATTTTGGGAGTCCACCGAAGGCAGCCAGTCGAGCGGCAATCAAGCCCATCAGCATCGCCAATGTCATCAGGTTCAGCCGCTTCAGAATCTTCTGACTCTCGGGCACAAGCGTCGGCGGCCCGAGCCGCGCCGTTTCCTCCATCGCTGCGGTTGGGTCATTTCAGCTCGGGGCTCTTGTTCTGTCTGTCTGTCTATCTATCTATTACCTAATCTCATCCTCATCCTCAATATCTTCTTAGCTATCTCTCGATCTTATTCATCCACATGCCTATCCTTCTACAATCTGTAAAAGTGCCCCCAAATCTGCGCGCGACCTTGCGTGTGCTGCGCCTGCCACAAAACCTGTACCAGACCTTGCGAATGTGCTGCGCCCGCCCCGAAATCTGTCCTGACCTTGGGAAAGTGCTGCGCCTGCCATTCAAACTGAAGTCGCGAAAAGCTCACGACGGTCCCGGCTCCGAACGCGCTCCGAGATCGCTTTGAGACCGCTCTGACCAGGCGTCGCGATCAGGCTGACTTTCGAACATGCCAAAGCACCGAAACCCGGAGAGCGTCGCGCTTTTTTCAAAGTCTTTTCCTCGCCACACGCGCGCTCATCTGTCTCAAAGAGCAAGCTTTCACAACACGGGAGTTCCTTGTACACTTCTCAACTTCCTTTGGCTGCCACTCCTACCACTAGTACTGTTCGTGCTACTCCTACTCCCACTTCTACTGCTACTGTTGGTGCTCCTGCTACAACCGACAACTACTACCTGCTACCTACTATTACGATTTCGGCATGCTAAGACAAGCAACGCACTCTTTGATTTTTTTGTCTCTGTGCAAGCAAGTGCGTCTCCAGATTGTGGACAAACAGACAGATAGATAGATAGATAGATTAGATAGATCGGTAGATAGATAGTGAGCAAAAATTAGATGGTTTGATTGATGGGTAGATATACAAATATGTAGATAGAGAGCTTAAAATAGATAGGAAGGTAGATAAAGAGATGATAGATAGATAGACAAAAAATAGATGGGGAGAGAGAGGTAGAAAATGAAGAGAAAAAAAGGAGAGAAAGAAGGAGAGAAAGAAGGAGAGAGAAAGAAGGAAAGAAAGAAAGCAAAAACAGTACAGAAAGAAAGAAAGAAAGAAAGAAAGAAAGAAAGAAAGAAAGAAAGCAAGAACGAAAGAAAGAAAGAAAGAAGTCAGGAAGGAAGGAAAGAAAGAAAGAAAGAAAGGAAAAAGAAGAAAGAAAGAGAGAGAAAGATAGAAAACGATACTCAGCGGATAAGAAGGGAAGAGGAAAGAAGGGGAAAAGGAAAGAAGGAAAAAGAAACAATGAAAAGAAATAGAAATTGAAAATGAACGATGACAAACCGCAACAAGAGAAAAAGAAAGAAGTACAAAATAGAAGCAATGCTGTAGCATTGTCTTTTGGAACTTCGCTTGCCGGCTTTGCCGGCTCTAGTAGTGGTAGTAGTAGTAGCAGCAACAGCAGCAGCAGCAGCAGCAGCAGCAGTAGTAGTAGTAGTAGTAAAAGCATTAGTAGCAGTAGTAGTTAGTTAGTTAGTTAGATAGTTGTAAGAAAATGAATGCGTAACAAGTATTTTGTGACTGGGGCAAAAAGCACGGCGCGCCGTTTTAACATCAACCAGCACGCATGCCTGGAAGCGCGTATCGACATTGTGTTTCCAATGCGTTCGTGAAAGAACAGCTGGGTTACCAAGTGTGGGCCCTAATGTCGTTGCACATGCAAGTTCCATGTGGCGCACTGCGGCTTGCATTGTTGCTTGGTTCTGCATCTGAGGGGCTCGACAAATTGCCCTGGTCGCGTGGCTGCCACCTGACTGCCTGACCCTATCAGTCAGCCCCTGAGCCAAGAGCAAGTCACGGACGTGGCTCGAACTTCTGGAAGTTAAACAGAACGAACAACCGAAACCCAACGGCCACGCTGCTTCGACAGGACACCGGCCACGCGCGATCGATGCGACTTTACACAAGCCGATGCGACTTAACCCCACGCCCCAGTAGAATGGGGTACGATACTGTGAAGCAAATTCATGGTGGGAGCGCAATGAAACCAATTTAGCCCTCATGTTGCCTGCCCAACGTTTTCTTGGGAATAAATGGAAGAAGCTGACTGGCAAGATCCTCCAAACTTTCCTTGCCTCTCAAAGGTGATCCGCGGGCGCTGAACAAATCTTCTCCAAATCTCCCCTTGCCCTCTGCCCTCCTCTCCGTTTTTCCCCGACGCCTGCTCCAAGGCCAGCAGGAAAGCCCTTGCACACAGGCCGGCGCGCTCCGTGAAATCCACCGGCATCGCGTCGACGCAAGCGCGCAGGCGCGGCAGAACCAGCGCGAGCAAGTTGCATGGGGCCAAAGTGGTGACCCACTCCCGCATCCGCTTGTCCAAGCTCACAGCGCGCTGAGGGTGGGGCAGGTGACAGTACACACAGTCTGCCTGAAAGTTGCAACTGTTGGCAAAAAAGGAAAAAGAAGCAGCTCTGCCTGAAACAACAAGACACCTCTGCAAGCTGAGAAGAGGACAAACAAGTGGTTGCAAAGAAAGCAAGTTGACCTTAAGAATTTAGGCCGCCGTACGGACCTTGGCATGCTTTTCGACCTGTTCTCCGTGAGGTTCAACACAACACGAACGCCGAGCTGCTCCCCGCGGGCACTCGCCACGCGCAAAGTGCAGGCAGGGCCGGCGGCAAAGCTCCGGATGCCCTCGGCTGCCAGGGGACGTGGCACTGATGGCGCCCGTCTCGACCGCCGTCGGCAGACTGGGAACCGGGACCGGAGCCGCAGCCGGGGGCAGGCGAGTGAGGCGCGTGAGGTGGGCAGCGCGATCAGCCAGACCTTCGACCTGAGCTGATTTTGTCTCCGGGGCGTTGAAAGATCAGTCAGAAGAGTGGGCCCCCAGTCTGAGATAGTGGCTTCAAATGGGACTTGTACGCTTCGCATCCATTTTGGTGTCGTCCATTCGATGTCAAAGCCACCAAAGCCAGGCGCATGAACTCCGGACATTAGCTCACGCCATCTACCCAAACGGTTGCTCACAAGTAGCTTGCAGTGTTGCTTAGCCAAAGTCTTGGGGGAAAAACCACGAGCGCACTGGTGCTTCTTTCGGGCCGGGTGCTTCTTTCGGGCTGGGTCAGCTCCAAAAGATGAGCCATCCGTCTCAACGTCTCCAACATCTTTGACGTTCCGCTCGTTTCCCGCGCGTTTCCCGCGCGTTCAACGCGTTCGCCTCTGCGGACAGCAGCTCCTCCTCCGTGCTCCTCACCCGGCTCGGCTCACAGCTCGAGGCCCGACGAAAATTGGCGGCCTGGGATCCGAGAGTGAAACCCCGGGCGCGCGCCCCGAAACGAGAAGCCAAGGGCCTTGCGTTCTCCTGGTAGCTTTAAGCGCCGATCCGGTAAAACCAGGTGCTTCAATCGTCGAACTGGAAAACTATTCGGGGAGAAGGGGAAAACATATGGTAACTAGGCGAATTAATAGATTGCAAGCAAAAACACACACACACACACATGCAACCTCACGGGAGCTCCTTGGAAGACAATGTTCCTCTCCAAACAACCTTCTGAAAAAAAAAAACAAGTTCGCAGGAGGCTACCAGTCTGTGAGTAAAGTATATAGTAAATATGGTATATTGGAAAAAGTGCGACATACCCAGGGTTAGCCGCAAAAAACATATTTGTTTTAGCTCGCGCCTCTAGGAAGGTGAGCAAAATGCCGAGCTTGATGCCTAGGGGGGTTGGGGGGGGGGTGGGGGTTGACGTGGGGCGTTCACATGAACTTCAGCGCACATTTCCCCTTACCACCGTCGCAAGAATGCGGCTGTTCTTTGGGAACTCACAGCGATGGGGTGTTGACAGGAACTTCAAAACTCGTCTTAGCGCCGCGAAGGGCGGCGTGACCTTCACTTGCCCAGAACACAATGCTCCGACACATAAGGCTCCCGCACAGGGTTTGTCTCCCAATAGGGAATTCTGCAGGGTGGTGGTTGTCTCTTAGTTTCTCTTTCAAACCATCCCAACATGGTGCCCCTCAAAAGACGCCTGCCTATCCGCAAGGGATGGCCCCCATAGATAATTATTGCCCACTGCCCCAAACCACAAACTGACAATGTCCTGCATACTTTCACCGAAACTCTTGCAATGCCACTTTAAGAAATTCCCTAGCCAGTCACAGCAAGTGAAATCCCCCAATCTACAGGAAGTTCAACAAGAAGCTAGTAAAAGACTGCTAGATACTGGCGTGTGTTTCGTTAAGTTCCTCCAGCTGTTCGTGTGTGCTTTTTCCGCGATCTGAGAGAACGCTCCGTGATAGCCATATCCTCTTTTCCAGATCTGCAACCAGTGAGGTTTGGCTTCCAAGTATATATCCAAAAACGATCAACTACCACGAATAGACACTCAATTCTCCCCGCCTCCGGCACCTCATCGATGAAGGTCAAATAATACCGCAGCGACATGGCGAATGCGAATCTAAGGCTGCGCGGGTGATTCCTGCCAGACTGAGCCAAGAAAAAAGGCTCAAGGAGCCCGGATTGATCAACTCGGATGCATATGGAGTGGTTCAACCAGTCAGGCTGGGGGCTCGACTTAGCTTCAGATGTTCCCGGCGTTGCGCGCAGGGCTCCAATAGGAAGGCTGTCATGTACCTGAAACCATAAGTTGGCGATGTACCAGCTGAAGATGTGATGTGTGTGTCTCAAGAATCGGGTTCAAATGGTGGGGTTCCTTCATGTTCCTTCAGGTTTCCCGACCTAAAACCAACCAAACGGCGGTCTCCAAAAAACTTGACACGTTCGCATGGGTTTCAGGCCAGGGGTATATGATAGTCCGCTTTGAAACTGCGGCCATTGAGATACCAATGAGTCGCTCGCTCCGCGGCCGCCGTCTTTTTGCGTCCTTGCTCCGACTTTGCACATCCGAGGAGTCCAACGGGTGACGCATCGCCCTTTATTTCCTAACCCAGGATGGGGCTTTTGCATTTCAGCCTCAGACCAGGATCATTTCGATCTGATCCTTCAACTCCTGATGCTCCAAGCCGCAAACTTTGGGCACTGAGACTGACCACATACTTCACTCGGTTTATACCAGTTTCGTAGGGTTCATTCATTCCACCTGCTGAGCTTTGTGGATGTTGTCAATCCACAGTAGAATGACGATTCGTCCAAGCAATCAAGAGCAACATGCGTGCCTGAATCTGCGTGTTCAGCTGAGAACCTTCTTTCGATGTGATCGAGCAAGAAATAACCGGCCTGCAGGTATGCCAAAGAACTCTGTGTGCGAGCACTCAAATGCTGCAAAAAACGCGTGTCTGACTCCTCAAACAGAACAATAAAATTAAAAAAAAAAAAAAACAATCATGTCAATAAGTATCTCACCATGAAAGACACCACCACCGCCAGCAAGAGAATTCGTGCATGTGTGAGTCTGTGATATTTACAAAAAGGAAACAAACGGGTCCCCTGTTCACCTTGTAAAAGGAGACCAAAGAGAAAAAGAAAAAGATGGGTACCCTTTTCACCTTGACCAAAGAGAAAACAAGATAACAACATGCTTAGTCAACCGCTTTGACAACTAATCCCCCCCCTTTCACCCGAAGGATTCACCCGAAGAGTTTCGTGGCCTGGACACGCCGCAAGCTCGTCCCAGCGCCGTCTTGGACTTCACGAAGACATACGGGACGTTCTTGTCCTCACACACCAACGGCCTCAGAAAGCAAAAGAATACGTGTCATTTTGCAGGGAACCTGGTTTTCCCTTGGTTTCCCTTGGTTTCCCCTTGGTTTCCCCTTGGTTTCTTCTTGGTTCTCTTGGTGTCCCTTGGTTTCCCTTGGTTTCCCCTTGGTTTCCCTTGGTTTCCCTTCTCTCAGTTTTGAGGGTACCACTTGTTCTGCAGTTTTGCAAGGAAACCAAGAGGAACACCACCCATTTTGGGGGTTACCCTAGTTTCCATATGATAAAATTGGAGTCCCGTGGCTTCGGGGGGAAGAAACAAAGAGTCTCCCATGCCCCTCTCGTCACTGCTACTTGTTCACACGAGTGGCCAGTAAGCAAACCTTGAAATCTGCGGAGCTCCATGGATCTAAAACTGGGATTGAGTCTGCGGGTACTTCAGGAATAAAACTATGAATCCAGGCGTTTGTTCATAGGCGAGAAGAATCATTGCCTGCAAAGAAGCCAGACAGCACCATTGTCAGATTCTCTGTTGCTCAAGGAACAACATTGCCCACGTCATCGAAATCAGCCAGCGTTTGAGTATCCTTTGCTTTGAGACATCATACAACCCAGCTCCGTACAAGAGGTGCAGCCCTGTCTTGACCTCAGGATATGTAGATTGTTTTCAGGTTGGTGTCTTTCTTCAAAGCCACGCAAGCATGAGTTCAATGGGCTTCTTTGAAGAGACAAAATCACGGGAATAGCGGCAACTCCTCATTGGGTGTTTCCTATAAAGGCCCTCCGCATGTGCCTTGTAGGTGGCCCTGCTTTCATTTGACGCCGTCCACGAGCGGGGATTGAAAAGCACCCATTTGGGTACTGGTAGCCCCCCCTTCCCTGTTTAGGATAGCACAAATCTTGCAAGGAACGCCAACTGTTGGGTCTTTCAAGGAAAACCCTCAATCTCACAGGTATTTGAAATGTAGGCATCCTTTTCCATCTCGAAAATTTTGCAAGAGCTTCACAGGGTTCCCTGCCATTCCTTTCCGGGCGATGCGACAAATCGCCGGAGGGCCTTGCCATAGGTGATGTTACAAATCTTCTGAAACTGGAAGAGGTGAAGCTGCAAAGCAAGCAAACAAAGAATAGGGCCGGAAGCATTGTAGATTGGCAAACAAAAGGCGACGTCTAAAACCCGAAAAAGAGGAACCCAAACCTTCAGCAGACATGGGAACACATGAAAACATGAAAAGGCAGCCTCGAATTGTTTCGGGCACCCCCCTTCAACAAGTCGAGAAATACTGCGGATGGTTGCGAAATCCAGTTCGCACCACCTAAGAAACCCTGGAACCATGATTCCCCTGTAAATACCAACAAACCATTGTTTCAGCCAAATTCCGTGGTGCGATTTCGTGGGATTTCGCAACCATCCACAGTAGGAAGCACTGGAAACTTGGGGGGGAAATACCGCTGGACCCCTTCGGAGGTGAGGGAACCCAAAGGAACAGCCTTTCATTTCTCACGGGGAACCCCATGGGAGAGGCGGACGCCAAAGGGACATTTTATGAGCACCTGCTACTTGGGCGGTTCCCCCCAATTTGAGGCGAAGATAGCCGCCTGAAGATGGGTGGTGTCCCTTTGGTTTGCCTTCAAACAAACCCCAAGAATCGTACCCTCAAAAAAGCCAAACCCGTATGCAATGTGTTCTTTGAGGGTATCCTGTTCACTTCGGTCTAAAGGGAAACCAACAGGAAAACCAGCAATTTGGGGGGCTGTTTGGGTGTGTCTTTTCTTGAGAGTACCCTTTGGATGTGTCTAGAGGGAAACCGCAAGCTAAACCATCATGGTGTGAAACCAAAATAAACTGAGGGTGAAACCAAATCAAAATCAAAAATGGAGGGTGAAACCAAAGTCTTGCGAAACCAAAATAATGACAACTATTTTACACACCCACGGCCCAAACGGTTCCCATCGGAGCGTCAAGTGCAGGAGGATCTCCAGGGGCTCGGCATCCGCCGCCAGGATCACCAGCTCCGCCGTGCCCCGGTTCAGCGTCTTGGTGGCCTCCGAGCGAGCGATCGCCCGGAAAGAAACGGAAACCCCCGACTTTCACCCGGGCAAAACGAAGAGACTGGTAGAATCAGGATCTACCAACTCAGAACAAGACAGAAAGCCAAACAAGGGATTGGTGGAAACTGGATTTACCAAAAGAAACAACATTGGTAGAAAATGGATTCAATGTCCGTCTAATTGGTGGTTTTGTTGAACGAGGGTGGAAACCCAACTTACCCCCAATTGCAGGGGTTCCAAACCCCAACCCGCCAGTCCAAACCAGTACGATAACCTGAAAGACGGAGGTATTACTTTTAAAAAAAATGTTCAAATGTACCCAAACATGAGCCCCGAAAAACACACCCTAGGTGGAATCTTCATTTGGGCTACACCTTGTTTGGGTGCCATGCCAATTTGTCGGGGAGAAACGCACAATTGCCGGGCGTCCAAAAGATGGCGTGTGTCTCAAAGATGTTGTAGCAAGTTGCGACTTGTGTTCGAGTCGGTACCCTCGTTCGCGCAGGGGTGGGCTTGGGCAACTGAAGGGAAAGTACTTAGTGGGCTTAAAATTCTTCGAGCCGCGTACTGGACAGCAGCGCTGTCTAAATCATTGACTGTAGTTCTACTAAGATGGCCACAAAAGGTTTCATAGGACGTCTGTGATCCTCACGTCGGGTATGCTAAAATGGCCATTGGGATTTGGTGCGCTGCTCATGTTGGCTTCATGTTCCTTTGGTTTGCAGAAACCGGGCAAAACAAGAACGTCGCATACAGCTATGTCAAGCACTTTCTCCCATACAAGCAGGGATATTTGAAAGAAAATGATGGTCCGCTCTTGTAACGTCAAGCACTTCTTGGTAGATAATCACAATCCCAGTGGAGCTACAGGAATTCCCTATGAAGGGGTTGATGACCGTCCCTAGCACTCCCAAGAGGGGTCTTTGGACCACGCCACATAAACACATGTCCATCTTTTGCTATTTGGCTGTGGGTCAAAAATAGGGTAACCCCAAAATGGCTTGCCCTGGTAAATGGAAACATGGTTTCTAAAACCTGCGGTCCAATTCCTGGTGTAATATTTTGACCCAGTTTCCCATTCCGGTCTTCCCCAAAACGTGGCGGCCGAGCGCCGGCGAGCGCCAAAACGCTCGCCAGCTCGCCAGCTCCACCTCGCCTCGTTGGCGCCTTTTTTGAGCTGCTTATAGTTGGCAGCCTGCTGCACCAAGTCCAGGATGGTCACAGTGAGCGCCTCCTGATGGAATTGGGCGAAACAAAAACTGGGAAGGAATCTTCCATTAAGACTTAAGCCTGCAAAAACTGAAAAATATGTCTGGTAGAGATAGATTCCTTTTCAAGCCAACAAGGAAAAATCAAACATATTATTAAGCAAACGGAAGGACTGAAGTCTCATTGGGGACCCTTGGGACAAGTTTTAGATGGGGAGCTATGTCCACCACTTGCGATGGGGGTCCGACCCCAAAAATCGCACCTGACTGTGCTACTGGACACTTGGAAAAAACATAGACACGATGTTTGGTCGATCAGAAAAGGGAAAATGAAGGAAGAGCCTTTAATAGCAACACAAATGCAGGACGCCTAAATGGGTAAAATTGCAAAAATATACTTGCTATGTCTGGCAATGCAAAGTCCAGCTTCGTGACTTCGCATCTGCTCGCGACAAGGGATAATCAAAGGCTGCGCTTCGCATTTGCTGCCAAACCTAAAAACATCCGTGCATGGAAAAGCACTTTCACCCACGGTCCCCGGGTTGTGGAACTGTGGCATCTACTTCACCCGACATGTCCAACCCTATCACTCGAGCGCCGGGGGACAACCCAGAAAGCTTCACATGGCTGTGGGTCTATTTTGGGGTAGGTGCACCACCCATTTTAGTCTATTTTAGTGGGGATTGGGATGTTCGCTTGAGGTACGGCTTTTGAGCCATGGCCACATCTTGAATGCGGTTTTGACAGACTTCAAAGCGCCTTGGGGGACCCTCATTTTTTGGGAGGCCTGTTGAACAGGACTGATGGTCGTGGCGCGCACCAGCCACATCAACCCCCTTGCTTCTTGCGGTCCTTGGCCAGAGGATACGCCTTGCGCGGCAGAGAGCGGGGCGTTGGCGTGCTTCTTTGGCTCTAAAATATAAATCTCAGTATGATGGAAACTTCACAATGGAAACATGTGCACACACACACACACTGCTCATCTGGACTCTTTTGGTAGGAAGTACCAAAAAAAAGGACAAGCATGAAACAACGACCTCCTTGTGCTGCTGCCCACGTGATGGGCAACACGCAAGTCAGGCCGATTTCTTTGAAGCCGATGCTGCACCAGCCCCGCCTTGGGGTTGACCTCCTCGTCGTCAGCCATTGCGTCACAAATCGACTTTGGTCTCCTTCTGAGCCGGAGGTCGTCTGGGCGCAAAGATTGGAGCGAGTCGAAACAAATCCGCTAGGTATCCCAAGCTTCTCAAGTCACACACCATGTGCTGTTGCAGTCAAATGCCAGACCCCAGGAATAGCCTCGAAGCCAACTACCCTCCCACCAACTAACATGCAACCTGACACGGGGCCGTTTTCCTTGTAAGGGGACCCCCTGTCAGGTTCCATGTTTGTGAGGGTCGATTTCATTCACAGAGACAATGTCCAGAACAAACGCGGAGGCACTCAAGCTGCATGCGTTTACCGTGCGAGAAAGAGAATCTCGAAAAATAAACTGTCCATCCGCTCGACCAAAAGCAAAATGGGCGGCGCCTCTTCGGAGTTGGTGCCCCTTCCTGTGGATTTAAAAGGGGCACCAAAAAGGAAAACCAACATCTTGTATTTGTTTGGGCGGGTCTCGTTAAGATGAGACACGCCCAAATAGATGGATGTCTTTCAGAAAACATGTATCACGAGCGTCGTCTCCGCGTTTGAGATTGTGTCAAGTCACTCACTTACAGTTGATCTGGAGACAGAATGGTCCCCTGCAGGCAAGGGAGGTCTCTCTCTTAATGTAGCAGGATGCGACATGTACTGATATGTCAGAGTTGCAAAGCCTTGAGGCTCGCTTGCACCGCAAGGCGCAGTCTGTCATTCAGCTACAAGCAGTATTTTCCATGGACTGATCTCCCAGCATGTTTTCTTCATGCCTGTCAACTGACCGTTTGTCAGTGGGAGGGGTGAAAGTCAGAGCGAACATGAGAGCACACCAGCTCGTGCCAAACCAGAAGCGCGCAAGGTAAACTGAGAGATTTCATCACGACAACATTTAAGCCATGGCAAACAAATGCGCTGGTGAAGAAGCGCGGGCCGATTTCGGCCCAAAATATGCATTGGCACCCACTCGGCCATTCCGTTCGGACCGCTCAGCGCCGGCCTGTCGTCACAGCACCCATGGAGCCTTGGCGAAACGCATCTGGCGCAGCAAGGCCCCTCCCAAATTAGCCATAGAAAACTGACAATTTGACAGAACCTCGGACAGAACTGTTCGGCTGTGGAAACAGCAGCAAAGGACTGCTAGGAAAAGATCATCATGAAAGACCATCAGCTGAGCCAACGCCTTGTCTTCACTTGCCTGGGCAGTTTGGTCTGCTAAGCTCGGCAGGGAAAACAGCTCCCGAGTGCATGCGAGACTCTCACCATTGGAAGCCCACCTGTTTTGGCCGCATCAAAACAGACACTCGTGAGGCGTTTAGTGATGTTGCCCAGACCGATGCGACAGGCATGCGCGGCACCTTGACCCAGATTAATGGCCTGGCAGAATTTTAGGAGGAGTCCAAAGCAAAGCAGACCCTTGACAATGGGACACCCCCTACTAATCAACCAGGGGTTCATGGATGGGCGAAACCCGTTGGCACCACAAATGAAACCATAGTTGAAACCATTGTCTGATGGTATTTATGGGGGAATCATCATTCCCAAAGTGAAACCACGGTTGAAACCATTTTGTTTGGCATTCGCAAAAGAAAAAAAACGACTCCCTCCCCCACTCCCCATTTCAAGCGTCGGCCCCGAGGCCGGCCAAGACCTGCTGCCCGCGCAGGCGCCTGTCAGGTCTGAAGCTCTTGTTGGTTGTTTTGTTTTTTGAGGGTGCCCTTCTGGCTTTCAAAAAGGAAGCCACAGGAGAACAAAGAAGAAAGAAAAGCAGCTTTGCAGGTTCCCCTGGTCTACGACACCAACTTCTCATCCTGAGCCTGGCGATCAGAACAGAACATGGTGCAATGGTGCAACGGGCGTTTCTAGGTCTTGGGTGAGCGTCTATGGACCTGCTGCAATATGTCGCCTGTTCCCTCCGCACAAACATGGGTTTGGCTCAACATTAAGGAGCCAGAGTTACGCAGGTGTTAGTCTTTGGTTCCATTTACCTTTTGGTTACTTTCCTGAGCCACAGCCACATGGGAGCAGCCAAGCGTTTCAGACTTCAAGCGCATCCGAGCCGCGGTGCCGTGCAGTCGGATCGCCCGGGCGGCTTGGGCCGCGGAGATGTGCGAAGCGGCCGGCACGTTGCGGCCAGAGACCTCGGATCACGTTGCCCGTTGCGGCCATGGTGCAACAAACAAACATGCCACATGGGGCGAATCACTTCCCTGTTTGCTCTTCTGCTCTCCAGCCACAGCTAAAGGTGAGTCTAAAAGGTGGGATGTGTCCAAGGAGTGAGACTAAGCAGTGGGACCTGTTCTGCAGAGCTTTGTAGCTTGCGCAAGAGCGCCGGTTTTGGGCCATGGGTTTCATGTTGCTTCATGGCCATGTTGACCGCATGTCAGCAGAGATTGATAACAGAATTTCGGAGTAACATGTTGATCTCAAATGCCATCCCAGAAAGCGGCAGCTTTGAGCTTGGATTTCGTGTCTTCCGCCATCATGGGCGTAAAGGAATCGTTGTCTTTCTGGCCGGGCATTCAGTAACTTGGATCACCAGGATCTTCGAAAATTGAAAATTAGGGCGGGTCTCTGAAAAGGTTCTTCCACCACAAAAAGCACCTCCCTGACTGCTTCACTTGACGGTTGTGCAGTCAGGCCCCTCTGCCAGATGGGAAAATTGTGAGGCTTCGCCTCCGAACCATGCCCTCAAATAGGCAACAAACAGCCTACAGAGAAAAACGTCAGGACCCAGTGTGTTTTCTTGGTTTTCCTTTAATCCCCTAAAACACGATGGGGACCCAAGGTTCCGCTTGGTTTAGCTATCCTTCAACAGCACAAACATACATACCATACCATACCATTCCATCACAAACATACATACATACATACACTACATACTACACTACACTACACTACATTACATTACACTACATTCCATCCCAATCCATTCCATTACATTACAGTCCATTACATTACATTACCATGACATGACAGTACATACACTATATTAATTACATTACATTAAATTACATTACATCACATGCCATTTCATTCCATTACATATATACATGCATTACACGCACACACAACATAACGTAACATGACATATCAGAACATAGCGTAATGTAACAGAAGAAAAGATAAGGTTACATACATACGTACATATATACATGCATACAGTACATTCATTATACATTACATTCCATTACATACACTAGATTCACTACACAGACTACATTGACTACATACACTACATACATACATACATTACATGGCATCACACGACATGACATTACATTACATTACATACATACATACTACACACATACATACATTACACACATGCATACATTACAATACATTACACTACACTACATTACATTACATTACATACATGCATACACACATACATACCTACACACATTGCATCATACCACACCACACCACACCACATCACATCACATTACATTACATTACACACATTCATAATTGCCTACATGCATACACGCATACAGGCATGCATACATATATGCGTACACACATACAGCACAGAACAGCACAGTGCAGTACAGTACAGTACGTTGCATTGCATGACATTACATACGTACATACATACATACATTACACATTACATTACATACATACATACATTTCATACATGCATACATACATACATACACACATACATACATACATACATACATACATACATACATACACACATACATTATATACACACATACATACATACATACATACGTACATTACATAGATTACATACACATACATCTCTACACACATAAAATACAGTACAGTACATTACATCACATTCCATGACAGGACACGACACGACATTACATGCATACATAGATACACACATTGCATACAGACACTACATTACATACATCACATTACACTACATTAGATTAGATTAGATTAGATTGCATTACATTACATGACATTATGTTACATACATTACATTACATACATACATTACACACATACATACATTACATTACATTACATAACACACATACATTACGCTCATACATATATTACATAACAGTACATTACTTTACATTTCATTACATTACAATACATTACATACATGCATAAATAACATACACACAGCGCATGCATACATTGCATACAGACATTACATTACATTACAATGTATGTATGTACATACATTACACACACACACATCTCTACGTCTCAGTTTTTCTCTGTTGCCTCGGACACTGTCATACATGCCAGGTCATCCTCAGGAATTGTCGGCTTGCTCGACCACGACTTCTGCTGAAATGTTCCACACGTCTTGCACAGTCATTCAGCAGCTGAAATCAAATACGGTCCTGGAAGGATGGGACGGCCACAGGGAAAAGAAAAGATCCTTGAGATTGAGAAATTGCGGGTTTATGCCATGACGACGGAGATACATGTCTGTTCAAGGTCCACATCTCTAAGTCTCACTCACCTTCACCCAGTTTTTCTCTGTTGCCTAGGAAACTGTCACACATGCCAGGTCATTCCTCAGGAATTGTCGGCTTGCTCAACCACGACTTCTGCTGAAATGTTCCACGCGTCTTGCACAGTCATTCAGCAGCTGAAATCAAGTACGGCATGCAACCACCCATTCCCATTCATGATCTGGTTTTACCGGCAAATCGCAAGCGTCGAAGGAGTAGTCCTGGAAAGGCTTGAGATCTCCTACTGATCAGACTTGATCAAGTTGGAGCACATTGTTTCCACTGCGTCAGTAGTAAAGCATGCTTCTCGTATCGACGCTGCTCTTTGCTTCCCATCTCCCCCGCTTGCCCACATCATGAAGACTTCTACGTTTGTGATATCTGTCCTTGGATGCAGCACTGTGCCGCAAAACATGCGGCTTGATACACTCGACCTTATACTGCAGTGTATAAGCTGAGCTCAGGGTTCAACCGTGTCCAGAGTCGCAAAACCTCACGCAGCCACGAATGATGAGCCAAGCCGCCCAACAAAACTGAATCATCCGATTTGCCAGTTTTGCGTTGGAGGGAAGAGGGTGCTATGAGAACCGACCGGTGAGGATACTTTTTACGTGGCCTAGCTGTGAGCCATCCAATGTCAGGCATGCAGAAGGCCGTAAATAGCCATCAAACTGTATTGCCATGGCGACTGCTATGTCCAGTCGACAACTGTCCTTTGGTGTATCACATTCAAGGAGTTGCAACCCGTAAACAAGATAGGAAGCGGCAGAGATCTCAAAATCGTTCTTGTAAAGCTCCGTGATGTAGGCGTTGACGGTATCATCCAGATGTTTGCGGTCTGTTTTCTTTCCACGTTGCTGAGCCCAGTGCTTAAAGTCCCCAACACAGGTCATATATCGGTTCAGCGTGCGTTGACTGACCCGTTTTGATCTAGGTAAGAACTTGTCAGCCACAAGCTTTCCATCCAGCCCAAATCGCAGTTGCTTCGCACCTCCTACTTCATTCTTGATCCCAACACGGGTCCCCAAAGCAGGAGGCCCGAAGCATGCATATGCAGTTTGTGGGAGCATTAATTGCATTGGTTGCACTGATTTCCCAAAGCACCATTGATTTAAACTTGCAAGTTTCCTCTCGAAGCATTTTTTCAAAGTGCAAAACCCATGCTGCTCTTGCTGCAAGGAACATGAGGGTCTGGGGTGAACAGGCCCTCAGCCACCGCCTGCTCCAGGTGCACCTTCAGCCCCTCAAGCTGCGCGTGCTTCCAGACATCAACGCGCTCGGCATAGCCAGTTTCCCACTTGTGTAGTACCCTCCAACCCGGGTTCCCCTTTTTTTCCCACTGGCCACTGGGTACAAGTACTATTTTTTGCAGGAGTGTTTTGCAGCTCCAAGGGGCTAAAATTGGAATGGAATTCAAGGGTACCCAAAACTCCTTTTCCCAAACAATCCTAGGGAAGAGCTGTGGTCTACGGTGTGCAAATTATTCAGCCATCCAACTGTGCAAATATTGGGATAAAATCACATTTCAGTTCCTGCACAAGAAAATCAAGGGAATCAGGTTTGTCGGAGACCCATTTTCATCCCTGAACAACAGCTCAATGCTTCGAAGTTCTTTCAATTTACTGAATTTTTTATTTTTATAATCATCCAATAAATTTCATCATGATCAACCATTTTGGGTTTGGCGTCTGGGCTGCCAGTGGAATGAGAAGCAACGGATCCCGAACTAGCGGGAGGCCGCGACAAACCCCAATGCGTGGTTTGCGGCAGCGCCATGCAGCGCAACCGAATCTACAGCGCCCGGCTGCACGTGGACAAGAACAATCATGTCTGGAGATTGATGAACCTGGCAGCACTGACCCTATCTGTGCCAACACCTAGGTTTCCCGTCAGGGTAACCGGCTCTGACAAGGCGGAGAACCTTGAAGGATAAGCCCCGGCAAGTGTAGTCCGGCTTTTGTATTGCCACTTGCCATTTACTTTAGCCCTAACACTTCCGACAAGCTGCTGATGAGTATGATCACGCCGGCATTTCCTGTGTTGTTCCCTTCTTCCCCGCCGCAAAGAGTCCCATACGAGCTTTTTGCCGGCGTCTCACTGTCAACAGCCCTGAGTCGTATAGCTTCTTGTAGAGCTTGAAACGAGCAACACGGCTCTTCTTGAGCTGATCGTCCCAGTGTGGATCAATCAATTCGCCGCTCGCCCTCAATGCTTCCAACTCCTGTTTGGCCTCTCCACCAGGGATCTCTTTCTCTTCGAGCGCTCCTCCTGCTTCTTCTTTAGAGCCTCACGGTGCGTGGCAGCACGACTTTCCAAAAGACCCCCAACCGACCCACGAGCAGTGGCCCGGGCCCTTGAGGCATCGACCTTGTCGCCGGCACTTCCAGCAGGAGGCTCTTCACATTAGAAAAGTGCTCAATGTAAGCTCTCACTGCTGGGGGGCCCAACTCCCAGGCAGATGTCGGCAATTCTTTGAGAATCTTGATCTCATGCAGGTCAAGCTGACCACATTCTTGGCCTCCTGCAAATACAGGTTGGGACCGTTCCCCACGTCCCGGAGACTCCTCAGAAAGGTGAGGGGAACGAAAAGCCATAGGCTGCAACCTTTCGAAAAACATCCTCCATCATCCACGCCTGTACATGTGTCAGCTGAAGGGCCGAATCACAAAAGGGCATCATCAAAAAGG